GCGCGCGGGCCTTGCACGCGGCAGCCACCATCACACCTCATGTCCTGCGTGGCTTTTGCACCACCAGCCGCAGGTAAGTGGCATGAGCTGTGGTGAAGGCTGCCATGTGCGAGCTCCTCCTCCCTCTAGGCTGGGCAGCATACATGTGGCCTGCAGAGGGGCACTGCTGCCCTTGCCCCTCTGCCCTGCTCCTGGGAACAGGCACAGAGTAAGCTGAGGTGGGGGGCCAGCAGCACCCCTCGCCCCTCTGCCACCACGCCCTGTGGTGCACTCTGTATCCCACCCCTTCCTCCTGCCTGCCCACCCGCCTGCCCAAGCTGAGGGAGGGGAAGTGTTGTGGAAAGCCCCACCAGGAATGTCTGCCAGCTGGCCAACACTCTGTCTTCCCCCAACATGTCCTCACTCCCTCAGCCCCCAGCCAGCTTCCCCCCCAGCCCTGCCCCACAACCCCCAAGCCCCACTTAACTCCAGGAACAAAGAAGACTGATCCTCCTCCTGTGGCAGCCTCTGGGTAAGTGACTGCATCAGATCCCGCCCTTTCCCCCTCTCCCTTCCCCTCCAGGCACGGCTGGGGCTTTCTTGCCCCTTCTGCAAACAGCACTTGCAGGCTAGAACTCAGCCACCCTGCAGAGCTCTTTGCAAAAGGGGGAAATCCATGGGTTTTCCTGCTATAAACAAAGATTTTCCCTTTTTCTCCAATTAAAATGGGAAATCCATAGTTTTCTCCTTTTTTTCTGTAGGAAACAGAAAACCCAGATCCCTGCTCATAGCCATGCATACTGTTTTTAACTCTTTCCAATGACATTATGTTTGTTTTTGCTTCAATGTTAATTGAATAATATAGCCCTAGCATATCAGTAAAGCTTCAAGTTTCTTTTTACCTTGAGAAAAATGTGTTGTGTTATATAGGATGATGCCAAAACATCATCGGCACCCCCTTTTTGTAACCCTAGATCCACCCACAGCAACTAGGCTAACTGTTACTAGAGCCTTAGAGCCCTAAAGTATGATCTAAAGAAAACTGTAGAGGATAGAGGATTCAGAACTCCCTAATGCTTTATCTATACAGATAGTTACACAATGCTCACTGCCATAGCCGAGTGCCTTTCAAATTACAAACCCTTGGACTATTTATGTTCTTCTCATTCTGCAACTATGCCAGGGTTTAGGTGTCATAATTCCAGGCAAAGCTCAACATGTCTTTGTTTCCTTGCTAGAGTATGTGTGTGTATCCACATGCATGCACATGTGCTATGTACTAACTCTTCTTCATGTACCAGTGGGACACAGAGATTGTGGCTGGTGGTTTTGCTGTGTTCTCTTTGATGACACGGGCTTGGTCTAGACATGATGTCAATTTAAAAAAGGTGGAGGGAGAGTGAGGCCTTTGTTTTTCTAAGTAAAGTCATGAAAGATATTTCTAATCAGGCACACAAAAATTCAAGTTTGTTTATCAAGGTGTGAACTAATTTAAAACAGATACTAGGGTGACATTCATGTTAATTAATTATTTTTTTCACTACACACTTTTTTTTAAATGAAATTGTAGACATTTTTGAGGAGTGGTCTATAAAAATGAAAGTGGTGACACCTATATCCTTTCAGGCAGCTATCAAAGCTATACAGAACAATCAAGGTCCTATTGCTGCAGAGTGTAAAGGACTTCATTTTCATTTACTTCCACCATACTTGTAACTTCAAGATTAAACGACAACCTCACTGACATATAAGCAACCTCTCTTCTAACCAACTTGACAGTTTCAAAGAATGGACAAAGAGTGATCACTGATTCTACAGTAATTACAGTTCTTCCAGATGTTGTAGTCAGTGTGGGCACAGCTGGAACTAACACCTGAACCTTATGTGCAAGATCAAAACATTTTTGATTAGCAGTCTGTCACGGTTATACGTGTACCCTCTCACTTCTATACAAGGGCCTAAGACTCTTGCAATCCTCTCATTTCTCTCATGATTCAAAAACAGAGCCTCAAAAATGAGGAAATGGAGAGTGGGTCACAGCATGCACTTTGATGGTTGTGACATCCAGAACCAGAGGGATTAAGAAGCAACAATATGTGCTTCTTGGAGGCATTTGGTATTTTGCCTAAATAGGTAATATTAGTTAATATAAGCTTGTAAGTTTGTAAACTGCAAATGTAACTTGTCTGTCATAAATTTACCCAAAATGATAAATTAACTGTTCATGGAACTGACTGGGCCCCATAGGCAAAGCTGTAGCTGTGAGATTAGCTGGCCTAATGTTTTTTTGCTCAGGGTTCAGCCTTAGTGATAAAAACTGGATCTAACTGCTAGGCATACCCAATACATTCCAGGAAAGCATATTCCAAGAAAGCATATTCAAATGAAGCCTAAAAGGGGTTGAGATTTAGGCGGAGCGATATCAATTTCAAACCTAAAGGTGCTGCATCATAATTTGCTTATTGGATAAACCTGAGTCTGGGTAGTAACTTTTCATGATAATTTTAACACCTTTCAATCCCATAGAGTAACAGCTATAGGGCAACACTGTGAGTGGCCCTGAGGCCAACAGCTTAACATAAGGCTAGGTATAAAAAACACACGCATCAGGTAACCAGCAGGAAGGAGGGAACAGAACGGTCGTTTCTTTCCCACGCCCGGACCCTAGACTCCCGGTGTGAGTGAGGATCGGATCCTGAGCAAGGGATCTTCCCCGGTAATCCCTCTGACAGCGTCGATCATCAGGGATGCCTGACTTCGCTGGAATCACTTGGCATGCACCTGGCATTGAGGGACTATCGATAAGTTGCCAACCCGTGTTTGTCTATTTGTTGTTTTGAACAGCCCAGTGTGGCTAATACCCTC